GGCTTAAGCATCCAAATTAGGGTTTCCTTGTTAGATAACCCTAATAGCCCAACTATATAAAGACCCCTTAAGGCTCAAAAACGTGGCTAATGTTCTTGTAAGGGTTTACACACGTTTTTGGTAGCCTCCATCCTCTCTCCTCTTCATCCTCTTGCTTATGGTGTTTGTGAACCATTAGAGGAGTGACACTTGTGACTCTAAGCCTTCCAAAGTCAATACAAGGAGATTTGGGATTGTTATTGCTACATAACAATCAAGGTATGATCTTAAACCTAATTACACATTAATATGATTACTTGTATGCTAGAATTAGGGTTTATAGTCTTGGATTCAAAGCATGTACAATAGAGAAACCTAGATCCAAGCATTAGGGTTTGTATGAGCACATAGGATGTCTTATGACCAAAACCCATCAGTGGTATCAGAGCCTAGCTTGGTTTCAATTGTATTGATGCATTGTATAACTAAAAAATTCGATTTTTTGGATTGTGGAGGCTGGACTCGCCGAGTCCATGGCTGAACTCGCCGAGTCCATGCAGACTCGACGAGTCCATGCCTGACTCGACGAGTCAACTCGTCAGATAATGCTTATCTCGGGATTTCTTGTTGTTTTTGCATATGGATAGTTACCTTATCATGTTAGATCAATATAAATCCGATTTTATGATATATATATGACTATATTCTTGATCTAATTAAAGATAATTATCAATTAACAAGATAATTGTTTCCTTATAAGATAATTGATTAATTATTTTGAGTAAATTGATAAATTGTTTTGCAAGAAATCATTAAATAAATCAAATATGGATAATTATGTGATTAAATGTTAATTTAAAATTATTTGTTATTTGATCCTTGTTGTTATGAAAGGTTTCATATTTTCCCCTTTAGGTTTTATAGTTTAAATTTGAACCCAAAAGTTTTGGAGTTTTGAAATTTAAATAGTTAAAACCCTAATGTTTTGAAAAAGGTTTCAAAATTTGCCCTCAAGTTTTGGAATTTAAAAGTTGATTAAAAGTTTAATTAGAAATGTTAAATTCTAAAACCCTAGTAATGTTTTGAAAAGTTCAAATCACACCTTATGGTTTTATTAATTAATTAAGGAGTATAATTAAAAGAGGTTTAATAAATCCATAAAAGTTTAGGTTAACCATTTAATTGAATTAAAAGTGTAATTGTTAAAGTTAACCATATAGTATTTTAAAAGTGTAAAATACACCCTATACTATAGATATAACATTAAAGGTTTAACATTATATATATATGTATAAGTAAAAGTCAGTCTTACCGTTAGTAGGCCTCATTCACGAAGCTGGTCTATAAGGGGTGTTTAAGGAAATTGCCTATAAAATGGCGATTGAATGGGTATCCACTCTTACCCACCGCACTCTTGACTAGTGGAGGGTCGTTAGCCGAACGGGTAGGATAGGACGAAACCTTCCATTATAAGTATAATGAAATACAAAGTAACTAAATGTTTTTCAAATTCCCAATCTTAGTTACTTAGGCAAAAGTGAATTGATGCAATTCCATGAAATTACACTTTGTGCCCTTGCGAAGACGTTAGTGGAGCGTGTGTGGTTTACCGGCACACTAAATGGTTCTAAGCAAAGGTAGCAAAGGGTGACTCAATGTTTGTCATAGTTCGGTGGAGCGTGTGTGGTTTACCGGCACATCGAATAGGTGATTGTAACATGTGAGGGCACCATGTAGTTTGCATGGTTATTCACACCCGCTTTGTGATCCTCGGCATCCCAGTCACAAACAAGAGGGGCATATCGAGATTTAAACATGCCATTGAAATGTTCAATGAATCTCAAAGGATCTAGGAGTTTTCATAGATTTAAAACTTAAATTTCTTTTTCGTTTTTCATGGTGGAAATTAGTGAATCATCATTCACTTACCTTCAAATGTTCTGCAATTTAGGTTACGGCATCCCTCTCCCGAGTTGTAGGATATTGTGTTAGGTCCTAGCCTTGGAATTTCATTTGGGTGATTTACCAAGGACTCAATCAATCAACTAACTTGAATTCGTTTTCCTCCCGATGTCAAAGTTCGACAACTATGGTCTTCTCAAAACCGGTGGAACAAGTATTCCACATGAAGATGATATTCCACGATTCGATCGAGGAACAAGAAATCATTCTTCACTTCCTCCTCCTCCTCCAATTATTCTCCCTAACCCACAAGATTGTAAAATTGAAAGGTTTAATATCACTCAAGCCCTTTTGGCAAGTAAACATGAAGAGGGCAAGTCGGTGTGTGCACACGTCGTAGGGATGAAGTCACACATTGATAGATTAAGAATGATGGGATCCGTTGTCGGTGAAGCGATGGCTGTTGATTGGGTTCTTCAGTCACTTCCTAACTCGTATAGTGAGTTCGTAAGAGAGTACTATATGATGAACCATGACGTGACACTTATAGATCTCACCTACATGCTTATTGCTGCTGAATCAACAATGGTTTGGCGCAATAGAAAAGCAAAGTTGATTGGTGAATCTGCCTTCAAGACCTCTATGGATATAGACAATGGCAATAAAAGACATGCAATGATCAAAAAGTTTGATCATAAGAGAAAGGCGATGTCTGAAGTAGTTCCATGTGTTGTTCCAAAAGAGTCAATTTGCTTTTATTGCCAAAAGAAGGGGCATTGGAGACGAAGTCTCCCTATTTACCTAAGAGATCTAAGAGATGGGAGAGTGAAAAGTATGACTACGCTTTAGGTAAGAATCCACTATCTAACTCCATTAAGTTCCTATTCATTGATTCTTAATACATGATGTGATAAGATTGCATTTGAATGTTTTGAAGGATCGGTGAAAAGAAAGGAAGCTTGATAAGAGAGCAAGGTGAATCTAATCACAAGAGATGGATCTTGATCGCATGGACTTGAAGATTGGATTTTGAGCTTAGATAGTTATGATAGAGTTGTTAGAAAATTTCTTTTTACATAGTTTTCAATAGATTTTGCATTGTAAGGACAAATGTTTTTCCGCTGCTTTTATAAATAAAATAAATTTTGACTCACTTATTTGTTTGTTTATTTCCTTGCAATGAAATCGTTATGAAAATTGATGTTTGAATATTTCTACAACAAATGGATGTGATTCTTAGTTATGTTATTTATGGAAATGTCAAGAATTTACCAAATAGAAAAAGAGTTTCTCATCGCCTAAAGTTTCAATTGGACAGAAACTTGGAATCATGCA